ATGTTTTGAAAGAGGCGAATGCCCGAAGTCAACTTTTCACAAACATCAGAAAGAGACAGCCGTTATTTGGGGGGTGTGAGGGGAGGGGGGGGGGAATCATGTTATAAGAAGAGGGAAAATGGAACAAGTTGTGACTGGAAAGAGCTTTGGGAAAAGAGACAGACAGCGTGAAAAAATTCTTGACAGTCTTTTGTCATGGCATGAAGGGGTGTCAACAAACGATCTGATAATCGCAGTTGCAAATCGCAGAATGTGGAGAGGCATGATCCCCCATGCCAGTCGGCAAGGCACTTGATGACGATATTGGATGCCTAGCAAGTGGTCCGCGGATAATTCCCAGTTGTAATATATTAATGATCCTTTTAAGCTGGGGCTCAGGTCTCTTACCTGTGACGATCCCCATTTTCAAAAAGTTAGTCCCTGAGTAAACTTCATGGAATAGCCCTGCCGTAAAGAGTCGCAGAGAGGAGTTTGGTGCTGTTTCCTGACTTTCGTTAGTTGTATTCATCACCATCATCATCATAAACCACTTCTGCCGGTTAGTGCTGTGGGGAGAAATAATTTGCCATCTAATGCACGTTGGCTGCCACTGGCTATTGTCCTGTTATGAATTTGTAGTGTCTTTAATGTTGTCGATCCATGTTTCAGCGGCCTTCCTCTTGCTCTTGTTGCTGATCTTCTGAGATGTAATGCTTGTGGTGGTATTTAATCTTACTGCATTCTAACGAGATGGCCAAACTACTTGATCTGCTGTTTCTCGATGATTCTAGTACAAGGTGTCGTTTTCACAATTTGCCTGATAGTTTCATTATTCACTCGATCTCGGATGGTTAGGTTAGCTGCTTTTCTCAGGCACCTTATCTTGCAGGCGGTGATTTTGCGTATATGGGCTTTAGATAGTTTCCATGTTTGGCACTGGTAGCTTAATGTTGGAATGAATTTGTTGTTAATAATCCGTTTCTTTGCACTCGGTTATACGTGATGTAATTGTTGTGTCCCCTTTGTCCCCTTACCTGTGTTGCTCCTCGGAGAATCCATCCAGGGCAGCCGCGTGTAAACTAATCGGTCTTCAATTTCTAATTCCTTTAAGAAACAAATAAAAAAAAATCAACCACGTTCAACCTGCTGCTAGGTAGCCGAAGCTGGCAACAGTCTCCGACTATATTTGTGGTCTTGTTTATCTGCGCCACTTTCGTGGCTAAAGTTCTGGTATTTGCGCCGTCTCTGGGCTAAACGCTCTTTCCTCTATCTCAGACCGCTCATTCCCTATCCTGTTGTCAACTGTGTTCTTCTCACCCTTTCATTCCTGATGTTTCCTCACTAATTTCAGCTCCTTCTGATTTGGCCAGGCGTGTTTCGTAGCAGAGCGAGCTTCTCAAAATAACGTCCTTTTGACCACCATTTATAATTTTAAAATGTTAGTATTTTACTATGCCGAAAAGTACTGAAAACATTTTTTTCCGTTTGGATAACCCGAGGTGTGAAAATATTCCGCGTGTGACCATAGTGGTCTTTTGGTTGTCTTCCTGCAATAAGAACTGATTAATCATGTCATGGAGATGTCTGTGAAATGTTCGGGTGAAGCCTCACAGTGATTATGTCAATCATTTGTTATAACGTGGTCCGATTGTGTCGATTTGGGTTGGTAGCTAGGCTCTGGTGTACGTAAATACCATATCCCTGGAATACGCATCAGTGAAGTCGCCAGTCTTCACCATCGTACCATTGGAAGGGCAGTTCATGAGCATTCCCCACCATCCGAGTAGGCTTCCAAAAAAGCAGCAGATAGATCCAACCGCCCACGCGCTAGCTCAGTTGGTTAAACATGACTGTGCAGTGACCGGGTAACGAACTCCTTATGGTCCGGGTTCACGCACGGGAACAGGCAGAAAAGCCACATTTCTCGTAGATTTACTGTATCCGTTATAGAATCAAGACCGGAGCGTTGCGACATCTATAGTACCGGGCCAAAGAATTTACAACTCATGGTTTCTGATATATGTTTAAAAAAAAAATTGATCCGACTCATTTGTGTTGTGCTTTTAAATATATTTTTAATGCAATCTGAAGTTGTAACTTAGAGCAGTGTAGAGACACTTAATATTGTTTCTGTTATTTTACAAACACGTTCTTTATTATTTCTTTTAATAACAATTAAGCGACAATAAACAAATTTCCGTTATCCATATGTTTAAAAGTCGTAAATATTTTAAGTTTTTATTTTTATTTTAGATTAGCGGGTGTAATTTAAAACGACAATGGGCCACATGGCTTTATACAGATTAGGGGCCCGGCAAGCTAGCTCAGTTGGTTAAACCATCTGCGCGGCGACCGGGTGACGAACTTCTTGTGGTCGGGGTTCACACCCGGGGGTAGGATGAAAAGCTACATATCTCCCAAATTTACTGTATCTTTCATGGGATTAAAGCGAAACGGTTGCGATATCCATATTACCTAGCAAAAGGGTTTACAACTCATGGTTTCTGGATATTAAATTTACAAATATGTTTGTGTGTGTGCATATACATACACCCACACCTATATATATATATATATATATATATATATATATATATATATATATATATATATATATATATATATATATATATATATATATATATATATATATATAGCATCGGGCTTTCCTGACAAAGTGTAATTTTCTGTATTCTGCTTTTTGTTCGAGTTGACTAGCTGTCAACTCTGGCGTAAATTTCTTGTTTTTTCCCCTTCTGGCTTTAAGTCTTGTCCCAGAGCCAGTTTTACACGTATATCCATGTCAGATATCTGGCTTATTTGTATGCAGGCTATTAGCGCCTTTTCTCTCATGTATATAAACACCGATTTCGAAGGAAACATCCGGAATTAGAAGACTCTTACGATATGCTTTTAGACGGCAGTTAGTTCTATTCGTTTTTCCTCCTATAACGGAGCACTGAAACCTTCACGGGGAATTGTCTGTAGTTTGTTCGAAACCATATAAGTCATGCAGCTGAAATTGCATATTTAAAATAAAATAAAGCATAAACAGGTGTTGGTTGTGATTTAGTTGATGTGTTCACATTTTCGGGCTGTTACTTACATTTGGTTACTTTCAATACTAAAATAGACTGCATGTATACATTTTGCGTACACTGTCTGCGCCTTTTGGGCGACATTTGTAAGAGCGCACATTGGAAGAGACGCAGCTGGCAAGCGTGGTTACGCCTGGGCTGCGAAAAAAACCAACCTCAAATAAGAGACAAGCCGTACAGACAGATCTTCAAGAAAACTTTCAATTTTTATTTAAGTGTTTGAATAATTTTAATTAACTCATGATAAATGATTTGCAGAACAGCATTTGAAAAATGTGTGCTTTTTAAAAATTATGATATATTTATCTAATTTTATATTCATAAATGCAAACAGGCAAAATGATTTTACTGGGGAATAATGCGTATATTGTAAAGCGGCCGGGCCGGCTTGCTGCTCTAAATAACATTTGTACTGTATAATCAATGAATATTAAACTACGTGTACCGTCCCATTATGGAACGCAATGTTTAATTACTATAAAGCCCCACTCCGGCTGTCGTTGGGGCCCTTATATAACCCAACCTATGGGCTAAAAAGGAATTCTGGGACGTGTTTCTGGCTGATCCTCATCCGAATGGTGGCACTTTGTGTCACCCGGTGTTTACTCCTTGGTGTGATGTCATGGTGAGGTTGAACGTCAAATCAAATCAAACACCGAATGTTCTCCAGTGGATCCCGGCTCACTGCGGCATACCAGGAAGTTAGCTAGCAGACTTGCTAAAAATGGAACAAAGGAGAAACACACCCAATTGTCATTACCAGAAATCAGAACACTTATCAAGGGGAAATACAAGGAATTGTAGAGAGAACAAACTAACAGTAAACATACACATGACCCATTAGCAAACTCAACAGAAAGCAGCATGCGACAATTTTCCGTCTACGAACAGGACACTGCAGGCTCAACTACCACATGAATAAAATAAAGAATTTACAGTCCCCACATTGTGCCTGTCAAACAGGACCACACACACCTGAGCACATTCTGCAGACCTGCAGCTTTGAAAAGAAACCTGGCATCAAGAGCAAAGTGAGCGGAGCAAGCTGTGGGGAATTATAAAGGACCTTCTCCGTGTGGGTTCCGGGGCCCTATTATAGGGAAAACAAAAATAGACCCACTGCCTACCCAAAAGCATGTCGTAGGAGTCGACTAATTGGGAGCTTCCTTTCAAGTCGGAGTGCATCAGCCTGAGAGACAAGGAACCAGCAGTCTGCAATATGAATTAGTCCGATTTGTAAAACAGATGCACACGCAACACTCAAATTCTGGAAAAGGCCTGCAGTCCGGAAGTGGATGAACAGCCAGAACTTTCCGTCAGAGTTTACAGCCGGTCAACGCAAAGAAGAAGAAGAAGATAAAGGACCTAATACTGACATAAGAGTTCATAGAGGCAACCCACCTGACGGTCTGATCTGAGCATACGAAACCAAACGCAAAGAATCATATTAATAATTAGACGAAGACAGTCAATAATATTTAGACGCATCAGAAGTAATGGGCTCGAGAACTTGGTACAGTTGGCAAGATTAATTAAAAGACAGCAAGAAGAAGACAAAGAGATAAATATCATGATGACCTGGCCAGATGGATGGGGCGAGACAAAAACATTAAACTGATCTGTTATTTTGCTGATTTTGTCAGATGTCAAAACATGACAACATTCGCTCACTGACACGGCACATAATGATATCATTATATAGCACAGTATCGCCCGGTGTGTTTTATTTGTGCAAGCGCACACGTTTTTATGAAGCTGATTAGACCACATGGACGTATTTAATAGAAAACTGTGAAGAGACTAGCATTGATAAATATTTTCTTACTCGATTACGATAAAACACGTTTACCCAGCATTTTGCAGCAACAACATTTCGTTTCGTTTATTTTAATTTTTGAAAGCACTAAAAAGTACACAAACAATATGGCGTGTTCCAAAAGGATAAACCATTCACGAAATTCAATGGATTCCTGTGATAGTCCATCTCCAGAAGCGAAGCGACAGAGGTCAAATAGCGTGAGGATTTTTTATCAGTTGACATTACATCTTTTTAAAACAATACCCATGTTTACTTCAACTGTATTGTATTACAATTGTTTTTCCTTCTTCTACTCTCTAGTCTAACAACTCTAGTTCTAGTTCTAGACTAGTCTGACTAGTCATCACTAGTCTCCCCCCCCCCTCTTTCTCTCTCTCTCTCTCTCTCTCTCTCTCTCTCTCTCTCTCTCTCTTGTACCCCACCAGAACATCAAACAAGCGATAAACACCCGGTGACACAAAGTGCCACCATCGGGATGGGGATCACCCGTGGAGAGCTGTCCCAGAAACCTCTTTCAGCCTTTACTTTAGTATATTTTGGCTCTCCTCCAGTACATATTTTGGCTCTCCTCCGAACTTCTGCCCCCGCATTACGTAGGTACTTTAGTCAAATTTTCAAAATACCCTCTACACCAATAAAACCAGCACAGTTAGATAGCTGTAAACAATCTCTTTCCAACGGTACCTCATTTAGGCTTGTGTGTCATTTCTGAGCTGAGATATGTAGGTTTTTGTGGAGATGAGATGTAGAAAGCAGCTGCTAAAACTTGCCTCCCAGAAACAAGAGGTTTTCTTTGCGCAACCAAACTGTGCAACTTTCGTTTTGGCTTTGTTTACATTGGACTGTCGTCACTGTACATCTACCTAGCCACGGTTTAGAAAGAAATTTTATACACAAATGTAAAAATGGACGGAGAATTCAATTATAACTAGCATTGCCAGTAACAGTTGAAGCCTAAAGCCAACCTTGAATACTTAGCGCTATTTTCAATCAAACTGATGTAACAGAAAAACAGAGGACGTCCGGCTGTCGTAGACATGCACTGTTAATCGTGTTCCTTCCCGCTGTTTTCAGCTATTTAGAGTTGGTGAAAATCACACCAATCGCAAAATTTCATGAGAGATTAGGACCCATCCCGAAACCCCAGCTGACATTTCCGAAGCAAGTTTCGAACGGTTTCCGTGGTAACGGAAATTGCCAAAAGATCGCAAATTTCCGGACACCGTAGTCGCTACATTACGGCGGCCTAAAATAATTAAATATCCGTTCGGGGCTCAGTCCAATGAAAAATTCGGACTTTCTGCCAAGGAACAAATCGCGGCAAAACTAGGATTACTTGACAATTTCAAGAGACGCAACTTTGCAGACGATAGTAGCAGACGATAAAAGCGACCGTTGACAATTTCGAGACATTACAGACGATGAAAGTGACATGGCAGGTAGACCACGCGCTCCCATGCAGATTAGCAGTACTGTTCTTCCGATTGAGGATTTAGCAGCGGTAGATGTCAGACTTGTCGGCATGCGCAAAATGCGATTAAACTCACCGCCGAGCGTATCCCCCGGGCCGCTGCGCGCGGCGCGGATGGGGGGTTAAACTAGGTGCCTGGGACTCACAAGAAAAGTAATTGGAGGAAGTTGCAGGAGATGCGGTAGCTGCTGCTCGTGAGTCCCAGCCATCTAGTTTAGCCTTGAATGAAATGGCATCAAGAGTCGTTCTCTCCAAGTGGGCAGACCATTTGATTTGCTGTCTTTGCATGTAATATGGAATGCATTCTCTACCGACTTTTTATCTTATGACCTAATTCAAAATTTTCTCTCTTCTGGTCACTCCTGCAGCTTTTCTCAGACATCTGATTTGCTTGGTTACTAATAACCCCATATTTTTTATAGATTAATTGGCACTTATTGAATGATTTGGTCAGTACGAAATCTTCCGCCTTTACTTCTCAGAACATTATTTTGGGTACCCAGTTGTTCGCTGAGTTGACCGTTAGTTAAAAATTCATTTTGCAAATCGGCCTCAGTGTGGATTCAAAGCTCTAACCACAGGACCAAGAGGCAAGCATATTTTTGATGGCATTATTAAGGCAACTTCTTCTAGAGCATTCTAAGCGGTGCTGGAGGTTCATTGCTGCAGATATTACCTTTATCTCAGTGATTGACCTTCTCTTTCAGTTGGTGGCTCCAAGTGTTTGTAAGTCTACCTTTTTTTTTTTTTTTATCGATCACCGGCTGTGAATTCCAGTGGAAGGTCCCGGTTAATCGTCCGCTTGGACTTTTGGCTTTCACCTGGACCTGATTTTTGCGTGTACAACCGTTTTTAATTTCCCTGCCTCATGGGCAGCTGTACTCTGACTTCGAAGGAATAAGTCTACCTGAATATTATCTCTCCACTGTCTGCCTTGTGGTCTCATCATCATCATGTGCCCTGCCAACTGGCGTAGGCGCTCATGCGTCTCCTCAGATCATCATCCCTGGTTGCCTGGAACAGCTCTCTTGATGATATATTTCCATGCCATCGTTTCAGCCCATCCAGCATCATCTCTCTTGGTCTGCCATTACCCCTTTTTCCACTGATCTTTCCAGTTGTCATGATGTTCTCCAATGTCTCACTTCTCATTATGTGGCCAAAGAACAGAGTTTGTCTCTTTCTCATTGTTGTATATAGAGATCTACTTTCATTAGCTTCTTTCAAGCAATTGTTGTTAGTTACTCTGGCCATCCAAGGTATTCGTAACATTCATCTCAGAAACCACATCTCTGTTGCTTCCAAATTCTTTCTAATTTGTTCACTGACATTCCAAGATTCGCTGCCATACAGCAGAACAGGTTCTATGTAACATTTTAGCACCCTCTTTCTGACATTAAATGAGAGCAATTTATTGTGGTCTACTCCCATTAATTTCTGTTGTCTTCACAGTTTTGGTTACTTTGTCATCCCCTGTTCTCTCTAAAAGCCCCAACCATTACAGTCTCTTAGTCCTGATGATACTGCTAGTACTTAGCAGTGTTTTAAACAGATTTTAATTTTCATTGTTGCTTTTCACTCTCCACTGTTTTCATTTTTAATTGGTGCAAAGATTCTTCCTTAAAACTTCTCAGTAGTTTATAAAATTTTTGTATTTTTTAAGTTATACTCCAGGTTTTTAAGGCATATAAGACGTTTTGTTTTATTAACTGTTTACATATTTTGATCTTGGTATTATGAGATAGAGGGAGTCGCCATGGCTGAGTTGTTAGACGCTAGCCTGCGGATCGGAAGGTCGTAGGTTCGCTCCCTGGTGGAGCCAGACTTTTTTTCAAAACTGACCTTAGCTCACAGGTTGACCCAGCCTTGAGTGGGTACTCGGTGCAGTCCTGGGAGGTAAAGGTGGCCGTTGCGATGCTGACCACATCACCCATCTTATGCCGTTGGTCTATAAAATATAGGTCTAGTCCTATATGCCCAATATGCCTGAAAGGTGGGGGAAAAGGGTCTTTTACTTTACTTATTGTGAGACAGAGCATTTGATGTTAGCGGATGTTGTATGGCATAGTATACCTTATTTCAAGATTATATTAACCATAAGTTATGCACTATTTTTGTCTTATTTAAATTCATGATGCATGATTCATGTAATGTGTAGTTTACATTGACTTTCTGTTTTTGTTTCACCCAGCCTGTGCTACTGGATGTGATGTCAGAAGAAACATCATTGCAGGATGACCAAGCCACCTACATCTCCATTGATAACGATGTCTCTGATTTCACTGAAGAAATAGTTGTCACCATAGACAATGTTGAAGACATTTCCCTCGTTGATGATTCATTTCAAACTGCAGACAGTTTTGTTGATCCCTTGTCACTGGTGCAGACTGCAACATCCACACCTGGAGGCCAGCTGCCATCAGAGGGCACTGTTGAGTGTGACAAACCTAGCTCTGTTTTTGTATTCAAAGATCCCAATTTTGTTGTGAGTCAACACTGTATTGTGTTTTAATTGAAAATGGACACAGGATCTTACCTAAGGTATTTGGCACCTATGCCAGGAGTGTCGGAAACTTTCATTAGCCATTGCTCAATTTGAACCCCCCCCAAAAAAACGTAAACTTTGTTTATCAAGGGTGTTTTTTTTTTTTTTTATTGTTGTAGGGTGCACCCTTCTAACCATTCTAAAAAAAAATACAACTTATGTGAAGCTAAAAAAAGACTTTTTTTAGGCATCCTACTTTCATGTTGAGCTCAGGGCATCTGCCCTACCTGCCATATCCTAGGTACGCCACTGAATGGATATACATATGGGGGGGGGGGGGGTGAGAAAGAGAGAGAGAGAATACCTCTGCTTTTTCTGAAAATCTAGGTTGATTTCCATTCCAAGAGGGGCAAAGAAAATTGTTTTGCTTTGCTGCATTGAGTTTTCATTGTACTTTATGATGTCATTTATAAACTTACACAGTTTGTTTTTTAATTTAGTACATTTTGTAGTACTTATTTTTAAAAAATTAATTAATTACCTGTCCTGTTGCAGAATCAGTCTTAATAATTTCTCTGAACCAGTGCAAATTGGTCTGCTGTCAAGTTGCCAGCAGCTAGGATCGAAGCTGGACCTTGGAGTCACATAGTGCATTCGTAGCGCCTGAGCCACTGATGCCAAAAAACTTATTTATTTTTCTGGAAACAATTAGTTTTTGTTTAAACCCCTTCTGACATTGAGTTGAAGTTGTTGACAATTAAATGTCTGAGTTAAGAACAGATATTACAGTACTTGGACATTACCATAAATGCTCCGCCCCTATCTTCAGTAGCTGACACAGAGTTCCAGTACCGAAGGTTACAGTTGCCTCTTCCCTGAATTTGAGTCTTGACCAGATCTCTTGGTTCCCCCCTATGGCACCATTTTCTTCAGATGATCCATTTGTGCCCATGTACTGCTCCCTCATTCTCAAAGAGCCTTGATAACATCTAGCTTGTCATTCGTTAATTTACCACCAATTTGTCTGCCTGAAATACCTAAAACATAAGGTATGGTATGATGTGTCGGCATCTGTGACTTAGGCGTTGCGACCTCGCTTCATAATGCCTGGGTGCCGGGTTCGATCCCTGCTGCGGACAATTAGTCTTGCGCTGGTTTCAACAGTGGTACAGAGAGCTGACTTTCAGAAAGCAGTGGCAAACTACTGAATGTAAAATTTGCCTAGATAAACCACAACAGCCAAAAAGTGCTGGGGTTGTTCTGCAACATCCTGTAAAGGATACACGACTGAATAATGGTATGATGTGAAGGAAAAATAATCAACATTGGTATAATCCCAGCCAGCCCAAACATGCTTTTCTGAAGTGTGTCCATCTTCTTTGTTTTGCAGAAAACAAAAATGTCACATTCAGCCAGCATCCCTTTGGGGGAGCTTTTAGTTAAAATTTTGACTACGTTATTTGCGCCTTATAAAATGGCTTAAAATTGCTTGCCACCAAGTAGCCCTAAAAAGGACTTTTGTACTGTTTATGTGATCGATCAAAGGAGACAGACTGAAATACTGTCCTGACCGATGAAGAAGTCGTCTACTGACCAGCCAGTGGGAGACCTGGTTGCGGATCGCTGAAGCATGTACTGGGTACACGTTAATAGATCTCTCTGGTTATGTAAAGTTCCAGTGCCTTTCTTAAACATCTGCTGGTTTCTGAATCCAATGAGGGGAAAGAGAGCTCTGCAGCACAGTTCCTATGGAGATAGTACTTTGGTACTGGATGAGCAGTACATTGTCTGTACTAAGCGAAATCTAATAGATGCATTCCCTTTTTAGAGCTCTACATTCCCTTTTTGGAGCTCTGTAAAATTCAGTGTCAGTGCTTTATACTTCCCTTAAATGGTTAATTTAAGTGTATTCAGTTGCCTTCTTAGTGGAGTTTGTTTTTCTTTCAGGCTGTTTATAAGTCAACAGATTTTGTCCACAAATTGAAGAAATTTAAATAAGAAGTGAAGACTATTTTATTTTATCATTTTTCTGAAATTCTTTTATTTGACATTCATTATTTTTCTGAAGTAGAAAGTATCAGTAGATTCTCTCTGTGAAAAGTACTATTTGTGTTCTGGCTTATGCAAAATTCCTTGCAGAATAAGTGTTTTTATCAAAGACCTTATTTCATCTGTTGTCATATCTGTCCAGTTGCAAACTCAACATAGACAGCTTTTAAAAAAAAAATTTCAATTTAATATGTTTAAATATGAAGGGCAGACTGTTTGTTTAAAGGGACTATGTGCCCAATTCTTAAGCCTTTAAAAAACAGTTTTCTCCATTCACTTTTTATAAAGGTTATATTATGAGGTGGAGGTTGAGTGTTACAGAAAACAGCTTAGCATGTGCAATATTGCTCTGTCTGGGTTTTATCTGGGCTGATCAAAGCTTTGTTCTTTTTTTTTTCCTTGTTGTAAAATGTTAGTATGAACACTTTAAATGACAAACACGCCAATCGGCAGTTATTGACTTTATTAGTCGATCCAACAGCTAGAATTGTCCGGTCACTGTTCTATGTTCTCGTCAATAATACAAGAGCCCAATCACAAAAAATGCTTCAGAAACATCACAACTCGAATCTAGATGTAATTACTTTTCAAACTATACATTTCGTTCATGCCGGCCGCTTGCACTTGCAGTTTCACACAGCAGAATCTAGTAGAATCTTGCAGTCGTTTGACACTCGCTCACATCGACACTGCCATGTCTCCCAGCGTCCCAGACAATCTCCTACACGTAGTCTGGCAATCTGCATTCTTCACAGTCGTTCCTCTGCACTCGACCGCTCACATATGTGTCCAAACATCAAATGATTTCCTATCGCCTCTCGCCTTCAAATGTTCGTTCCAATCTCATGCTTTCTGCTTAGCACAGTTCATAAAAACATGAGACACACTTAACACCTGCTTTACCTGCGTCCCTCATTTCCTATGGTCTTCTGACCTTCTGTGTCGTCAGTGATACTATCCGGGTTTCCCTGGGATTCTTATCATTACAGCATGCTAACCAAGGACTAAAAATCCCAGCAAAAACTTCTTCTACGCTCAGGTTATCATTTGTGTTGCCTCTATGAACTGGCTTGTTATCAGCAAGTCTCCAAGGGTTCCCCAGAGTTTCTCCTGGATGCCTCTTCTCTGACCAAGTTTTCTCAGAGGTTTGCTGTAGGGGGAAGTTCTGTAGTATGTACTCAGGTGTTTGGAATGTTCGGCAGGGACACTCCGTGGATTGTACAGCCTTTATTCTGTGCATGTGTGTGTGAGGTCTGCAGTGTCCTGTTCTTAGTGTAAAAGAAAGAAAAAAGCCTTTGATGCCCTCTGTTTAGTATGTTGATGGGGTCATTGGATGTTTACTGTTTGTTCTCCATCTCCAGGAGTTTCTATACTTCTCTTTGATCTGTCTCTTTACCTTTTTTCCAAGTGTTTCCCTCTTTGGCCAGTTTATCTGCCATCTCATTTTCCTTCTTGACCACAGTTCACACCTGAGCAAATAAGTTGATCTTTTTGGCTTTCTCCTGAAGGCTTCATCGTTCTTCTTGGAGAAAATCCTCTTCTATACTGTTTTGTGTGATTTCTATCTTCGTTTTAGACTTGTTCACATTTAGTTGGCTTTTTGCAGCTGAAGCTTTAAAACGGGAATGAGGAAGAAGTATATAGATTTACTATTAACATTTTGAGCGCATTGCATGTATTCTTTCGTATTTTCTAGCACTCAAGCAAAGGTCCTGGAGGCAGTAAAAGAACAAGAGTGTGGAAGAACCTCAAACAGATTATAGCAGCAGAGAGAGCATTGCCCTGGGGACCAGATGATGTTACATGTGAGTTTTGTTTTCTCTTGTGTTGCTGACATTAAATGCTTGGTTGAAACTGTTATGCTGAACAGCACATCCTTGAAAGCAGACCATCATAGACCATTCCCTCTTTACACTTCAATAAATGATTTTACATTGAAGAATGTGCATGTGATTTGCACTCAAATCCATTCTGTCGACTGTGCATTGTGGTACTTTTTTATTTTCTTGGTCAATTTCTTATCTAGGGCCAGAATACTTTCCTCATCTCTTGATTCATCGTGGTTTTTTTTTAAAGTTCTCTCCAAAGCTCCATATGCATTTAATTGTATCTATGCTGTGTGAGTGCTAGTTAATGAATATTAGTAATTTATTCTCTGTTCAGTTATTTTTGTTTTTGCTCCATACAACAGGACTGATTTAATGTTAGAGTTTAAAGTTTTAAATCCTTTTACTTCCACAGATTTCTTAGTGCCACAAACACTGCTCTTAGCTTTTGTATTCTTCTTCAGCATTCCCAACCCAGGGATTTTATTGCTTCAGATATCAACCATCTCCGATAATCTTTGTGACTGGTCCTCTCTTTCCATTTTGTTCATGTGTCTGTAGATCTGCCTGGATATTATCTCGCCACTGTCTTCTTGGTCAGCCTCCTGGTCTATAGCCATTCAGCTCCCTTGTGTACACAGTTTTTGCAGCTCTTCCTTATCCACCTTTTTTTTTAGGCCCCAGTCATTTCAGTCTATTAGCCCGCATGCTTCCGGTGGTAACTGGGGATTTAAACAGCTTTTGAAGCTTATACCGATTTTTATATATCTGTATGTTCTCAGAGTTAATATCTATTCCCTGTTATATATCTTTTTGTATGTTCTCAGAGTAAATATCCATTCCCTGTCCTATTATTACTGTGCATTCTCTTTAATCATGATTGATAACTAGCCCCTTTATGTGCTGCTTCCATTGTGTGTTTTTAACTGTCCCTAGTTTATTTTCTGCAACTATATCTATTTCAGCATCATAACCAGAAATTCTTCTGGATTCTTTTTTCGTCTTTTATCTGGGGCAAAGATGAAAAGTAGTGTAAACAGGGCATCACCTTGCTTTAAACCAGTTGTTATTTGAAAAGGCCTTTCTTTATATGTTACAATATGCCTTCCATACATAGTCTGTTGATTAACTTCTTTGGTATTCCAAAGTTTTGCATAGCATTCCACAATTTGTTTCTATATACACCATCATTTTCCTATTCAACATCCACAAAACCATTATGTACATTGCCTGTCATATTTTTGTTATATCTCAGTTTATTAGTGGCACCTTTTTATTAAGTCCAATCAACACTCAACATATGAAGTGGTCGGTATCATGCTGGCTACCTTTGCTTTCTAAAACATGTCTCCCTACCCGTTTTAGACTAGGTCTTCCCTTGATGGTTCCACAGCCCCATTTTGGTGGGAAAAAATAGACCCGCTGTCCCTCCTAAATAGCATGTCGCAAATGTTGACTAATTAATAAGTTATGCTTCCTTTGAAGTCAGAGTGCACCTGCGGCTTTATCGAGGAACCGACAGTCTGCACACAAATAAGCTAAAGCTGAAGTCCAGTAGCGGACGAACAACCAGGACTTTTCGTCGGAGTTTACAGCCACTGAAGGCAAAGAATAGTATAGGCAGCCATGGTTTACCTGCTCACACAGTCACCAGAATGATGTTGTTGCAACACACTTTTTGGGGGCCAAGCCATTGAGGTATATTTTTGTTTTAAAGTCCCGCTCCACTGTAAAAGTTGGCTCCATACTAAATCCGCTGCTATCTTTTGGAAAGTTACGTGGTGAGACCCCAGTGTATTCCACAGTGTGACTCTCTTACTGCTGTCAAAAAACCAAGAGAACAGATTTCCACTGTGGAAATTAAATCCTACTCTAGGGTAATGAAACTGTGAAACTCATTCACTAACCTCTAAGCCGCAGAGTCGCACACATTATTTACCGTTTAGGTACCCCGGTATAGGTTGTTAATATATTCTGTGACTTGAGATGTTTCTCGTTTTCTTCAGATTTCTTGTAAATTCTTTTTTCCTTGAATAGATGGTTCTATTGATGCTCCTCCATCCTTCAAGCCAGCCAAGAAATACTCTGATATATCAGGTCTAGAGGTATGGTCATTTTTGTTCATGTTGTTCACTATATTTAATTTTGTGTTGTTTCTTGTTTATTTTATGGAATGCCCTATGTGGGTTCCGGGGTCCCATTGTGGGAACAACGATAGATCCACTGCCTTCCCAAAAGCATGTAGTAAGAGACTAATTTGGAGCTTTCTTCGAATTTGGTGGCAAGGAACCAGCAGTCTGCATACACTTGAGTCATATCTGGTGAATGGATGTGTAAAGTAAGTAAAGATCGCTTTACACGCCTTTAGGCGCATCGGGCATATGGGAAGAGCACCCATATTTTACAGACCAATCGGCACTCGGTGGGTAATGTGGTCAGCATTACGCTGGCCGTCTTTACTTTCCCAGGACAGCCCATCCTGGTACCCATTTGAGGCTGGGTCGACCTGCGACGTCCCATACCACGATACAAATCCACGCAGCCCGCAGTGGGTTTCGATTGCGGTAAGATGGATTACCAGTCAGACTCGCAACGCCTTAGCCACAGACGCCGCTGAATGGATGTGCACGCACAACTAAGGCTCTGGAACAGGACTACATTCCAGGAGTGGACGAACAACCAGAACTTTCCCCCCAGATTTTATAGCTGGTGAACACGAAGAAGAAGATGATTCTACTGAATCAAGTGCCACATGATTCGACTGAATTAAATGCCACATTGAAATCTAGCTTTGTTTTTTTTTTTGTAACACGTGAAAGCTACCAGTTACTAGTTTGATTATGTTAACTGCCCACGCGAAGCAACGAGATGGAAAATATCCTATGATACCCTCTCCGGTGTAATCACTACCTGCTTTTGCTTACTCAGGCGAACTTATCATGCTTCGCCCCTGATCCATAATCCAGTATATTAAAGCCAACCCTCCCATAATAGGTGGCGTAGTCACTCTGCTGCCTTTACCACCGAGATCATTTCTTAGTACCTATTTTATGCTGGGACGACCTGGCATTTCAAGTCCGTTAACTAAAAACATCTCAATGGAGATGTACTCGATACATATACATTGTATATTTTGGCTGCAACATTACAAGTTTCCATGTTAAACAATCCATTTCAGGCCCGTTACACAGATCCACAGACTAAAATGCGCTATGCTAATGCAGATGAGTACAGACGAGTTCGTATGCTGCCTGGTGACATCATCACTGGATGTCTTCATCTAAGGAAAGCAAACACATTAGTTCCTTAGATTAGTTGTTTTGTGGTTTAAAATAAAGATTATTTATGTTTTCAGAAAATGTTTTTTATATTTTTTTAAATGCCAGTGTGTAACTTTTAAATTATTAATACACTGTTGTCTTAATTGTTTGTTGTTTGCGAGCACCGGCTGTAAAGTTATCAATTGGGGAGGGGGGTGCTGCATGGTCTCGAGGTATGGCATCTGTCTCTAGTGCTGGAGGTCCCGGGTGAATACTGGGATTTTTTCACTTGGACTTCTAGTAATTTCCCCCTGGTCTCTGGGTAGTAAGATCAGATGCCAATGTGTATTGTTGCGCCCTTAAAAAAAATACCTAGGCAGTTGGAAATTAAAAAAAAGTAGCCTAATGGCACTACCCGGGCAAAATTCGGAGTTAAAAATCTACCGAAAAAGTATTTCAGGATCCTCGCCTGTGCAACTGAGTTTGTGCACTGCACTGAGATTCTTCAGGCTTGAGTTAGACGTAGAATGGAGCACTTATGGGTTTACACTCGTGTGCTATGATGTTGATCTGTCTACTAAACTAAACATCAATACTGAGATCATATCAGGAATGCATTTACAAGTATTGATTGGCGCTCGCCCGATGTAGGTTCCATATTTCCAGGGGGGTGGGGTTTTAGAATAGACCCGCTGCCTCTCAGCATGCATGTCATAAAAGATGTCTAAGGGTTTGCTGAAATGGGACAGAAGGCCACAGATATTGCAGCCTAGCTGTAAACCGCTGCACAGAGTGCAGACCATCCTTTTAAAGTTGAACACAGAAGAAGATTGATACTCAGATAAAGGGAAGAAATGGAGATTAGAGAACTTAAAACTTGCTGCTCTAGAATAGTGTCGCTTCACCTTTTAACACCACAGCCCACCGAAACAATGGAAATTGTTTTGCGGCCTACCTGATAGAAAATAAAAGACAATAAAATTGATGCCACAGTTACTTTTCAGGAATCATATGGCTGCTACATGTGTCATCATCATTACCATCAATTTCTACTTTTGCCGTTATGTGTTGTGGGGAGAAACAGATTGTGATCCTCTGCTTGATGGGCAGCAATTGCTGTTGTCATTTTGTGTCGATGTAGAAGCTCTTTAATGTCTACATGAGTAATTATCCTTATTCCCAGCCCAGACTTGATTACAGCTTATGTAACCATCGTTTGCCATAATATTAATGTTTTATGGGGTTTAACGGGGTTTCTGGGATTTCTACCTTTGATTCTCATCCTTGAGGTGTAAAATCCTACAGACAGCCACCTTGAAAGATATAAAAGCTATATATTTTCATAACCTTCTTTTTGCATTTTCTTTCTGACTTAAACTGACAGACAGGTTCTTGTGATAAATTTGACTGTTTTTAGGAGTTCCCTTTTAGTTCCATAAAACTTTGAGTACATTGTTGACTCAGTGGGCCAGTATTTCCTTCATAATGGGCTTTCTTGCAGGACATGTTTTGTAATCTGCACACACGAGCACAGTGATGAACTACTTAGATAAAGCCTGTGTATATGCTTAGTATGTTTGTCAGTTCCTGTCCTGAGTTGTATAGTGATGACCTGCCCATGCAGGTGGTAGTCATCTCTGGCCAAATTCTTCTCACTTCTGATAGTCTGGATGGCCCTTTTGTTCTCAGAAGTATGTTACTGTATTCTCTTCCTGTTCACATTCTGCCCCTTTCTTAGCAAGTTTATTTGCAGTTTCATTTCCTGGTATACACCAGTGGGATGGAACCCACTGGAGTACACTACGCTTTAGGCAACCACCTTGCTAAATTCACATCTCAGATGAGGGGAGTTTACCACTCTTGAGGGCTTGGAGCACCAGTAGCTCATCTGTGAATATGACCTCTTGGGGGCAGTCAGATCTGGTGTTGTGTTACATTTCGACAGCCTGCTAAAGTGCTATGATCGCTGCTGTGTAGAAGGAACAGAATTTACCAGTGGGTATATACTCCATGTGGTGATGATTGTCTGGAAATGTGATAAAGATGCCAACAACCCCATTTTTCACCACACTGGTTGCTGATCCATCTGTGTAAGCATGTATCCACGACTGTTCGGAATAGTTTTCCTGTGTCATACTAAGAGCAGCAGATCTTTTTGGTAAAGGTCAGTGGACTCATCTCCAGCTGTGAGTCCATTGACTGAGGTCATTATCTGTATTGTTCACTGAGTTGCTCCCAAGGTACACGGTATAGGGTAGGTTTCAACTGTGTTGTTCTCATGTAAAAAGGTGCTACATCTGAGACACCCCAGTGCCAGTTCATCTAGTCTTGCTTTCATTGGGTGTCTGCATGCTATTAAACTTATTTTCATATCCCTTTTGACCTCTACATATGAGCCTAGATTAAAGATTTGTGATGCAGTGTGTATGTTGTAATTACATCGCATTTGTCTGAAATACAACACAACACACTGCGCCTATGTATTTGCTTTTTGTGTGCGTGTATGGATCTGTTTAGGTATTTGTGTAATCAAACAATACAGTTTGTAAATATAGGGGGGGGGGGGGGGGGGGGGGGGGGGGGGGGGGGGGGGGGGGGGGGGGGGGGGGGGGGGAGCGCCGTTTCGTGCCACTGCCAGTTTTGATCAGAAAATAAAAACCTCTGTTGGTTTATTACCCTAAAAATTCTAGTCTTTAAACAACAAAGAGTTTACAGACACAAACTAAACTTTATGCGGAAAAGTAACAGGTGAACTTGGGTAACCAGGCATTTCTTCTGAAAACAGATTAATTGATTTTAGATAAGAACATTTTGAGATACGAACCAGTCAGGAGCAGGAGTGAATTCATTAGTGGAGATACCACTGAATCTGATTTACATCCCAACACATCCATTTTCAGCAAACCCTTTCTCTTCTTCTTCTCTTCGTTCTCTTTTACCGCTTCAGGAGTTGGGGGAGATATAAGGTCATGCTTCGTGCTCTTCTGGCTGCCTCGACCATAGACACATCGTGGTGCTGTAGTTTCTCTAATGTTATCCTCCCATCTTGTTCTTGGTCTTCCTCTTGCTCTATGCCCCTCTCCTCTTTTGATATATGCCTTGTATGGCATAGCATCAGAAGGCATTCTGTTCAAGTGGGCAAACCATTTGATTTGCTGTCTGTGTGTGTGATTTAGAATTGGTTCTGAAACACCTGATTTCCATGGTTACTAATTTTCTTTTTGTTGTTGTTGTGTTAACAATGCATGGTCAATTTCCCTTTGATCAGTCCGTTTATATCGTTTTTTTAAAAAATATCTTAACCCTTTGGCTCGGTACTATGGATATCGCAAACCTTCGGCCTTGTTACCATGATAAATAGCGTAAATCTGGAAGAAATATGGCTTTTCTGCCTAACCCCGGGAGTGAACCCAGACCACAAAGAGTTCATCACCCGGTCGTCGCGAAGTCGGGTTTAGCCAAATACGCTAGCGAGCCGGGCCCGTTTATATCTCATTGTACATGTTGTAGCGGTATTAAATCCATTGCCCATTCTCTGCTCAATGTCAATTGCAGTCATAGTCTTAAGTGCACTAAGTCCTTTTTGGCATCTCGTCACAACACTCTCCACATGGTCCTTAAATGACAGGCTCCTGTCAAATGTAATTCCCAGATACTTCAGTTTGCTATCTCTATTCATGTTTCTACCATCTATCGTGAGACTTCGGACATTAGTTTTAACGATTCTTTTGTTCAGAGAACACCACAAAACAGACGCCTTTTTCTGGTGGACGACAGTCCTCATTTCTGTACACCACTCAGTCACTTTTTCTATTGTCGCTTGTAGCTCCCGGGTTGTTTGTTCCCTCTCTTCCCCCTGCCTATGTGCAAGTATATCATCCGCAAAAGTCAGTATCTTTCCAACTCCTGGTGCTTCTAGGCTTGCAATCTTGCTCGTATACACGTTGAAGAGCACAGGCGAGATGGCGCATCCCTGTGGCCAAAGTGCATGGTTCTGAGGTCCATGAGCCCAGCCGGAGAGCGACCCGACGTGAATACAGGACAGCTGCCGCCCAATTCACCAGCCATGGACTGACCTTCTTCTCCCTCAGTGCAGTCATTAAGATGTCGTATCTTATTCTGTTGTAAGCATCCTCGAGATCCAGTCCTACCGCCATAGTTTCCTGTCTGTTCTGGAACCCTTCATAGACGTCAAAAGCAAAAGTGGCCGCATTTGCCCAAGTGTCCTTTCCTGGTCTGTAGCTTCCCAGACCTCTTGGGATAAGCTTCCCCCTTTCCAAAAATTCTTATTCATAAATATATTCAGCGCTGGATGTGTTCCCTATCTTAATCTTGAAGTAAAGTAAGGACCCTTGCTTTCAACACTTCGGGACACACAGTGCTAGTCAATAGACCTATTGCTGCACACAGTGCGTCGTTAGGCCTTTCGCCTGTAGTAGTAGAGTAGAGCAGATTTTTACCCCCACTAGAACATCACACAAGCGATAAACACCCGATGACACAAAGTGCCACCATGTGGATGAGGATCACCCGTGGAGAGGTCCTAAAAACCGTGTTCAGCCATTAGACCATATTCATGGTTGGGCTATATTGCGGCCCCTGGCAAGAGCCAGAGTAGAGCTTCAAATAACGACAAAATGCATCTCACAAGGAGATGACTGTATCCAAGCCTCTTCATCCCAGGACATTACATAACACTCATTTTAAGCTGTCAGTTTTGAGAGAAGAGAATCCACCTGCATACAGACCTGAACCCTTCCCTTTTGGGCCGGTAGCCGAGTGTCTAGCTGCCACTGTGGCTTCCCACATCTCAAAGTTCAAGAATGTTTTTTTTTAAAAACCACATGTTGTATTTAGGAAGACGAAAAGATAGCAGTTTGTTTATCATTGCTGTTTACATTTTTGCAATCTTATTGCACGAGTTGGGTCCCTTGAGAAATTAGCTAAATAAATGACATTTCGTTAAAGAAAATGAAAATTGGGCACTAAAAATTATACTTGTGGAAAAATACACACATAAAAGGTTATATTTAATAATTATCTTGGTGTG